ATTCTTAACTAGTATATCATATATTTCCATATGTATCAGGCCAGACTGAAAGGGAAAGGAACAGATGCTATGGCAGTGAATTCTTTAATTTGTTTTACCCATACAGAAAAGAGCAGGGGGGGGAGAGTGCTTGCAGTGAAGAACAGTTGAAATGCTTTAGTTGTGCCCTTAGCAAAGGAAATTCCAAAACACTTTGGATGTTTTACCTTGTCTAGTATAGCAAGTACCTAAGACATCCCTGAAAACTCAAAGTACCAGAAACCAAATTGCAAAATTCCAAACTACAAAGCCATTCTGTCCTTTCACATTTTAGCTATAACTAAAAGGATGAATTCAGAGCAGTGTTTTTCAACCTTGGCAACTTTCAGATGTGTAGACTTCCACTCCCAGCATTCTATTGACGATGAAGTCCATGCTGACTGAGGAATTCTGGAAGTCTACATATCTTCAGGTTGTTAAAATTAAGAAACACTGATTCAGCACATGAAGGATTTCTGATGTCCGTTCCTATTGATAATTTGTACTTATAGAAATCTACTCCACTAAGTGCACTGTTAGAAGAATATGGCCAATTCCAATGATCAGTTCCAATGGAGGGAAGAGAGGGAGAGAAGAAAGTAGCAGTGGTTCGCTTTTGACATTGTTTTGGCAGGATGCAAGTTTGCATTATAGTCTTAAATTGCTCTTAAAATCAACCCCTTCCCATTACTCTCTGCCACTCACTTCAGGTTCTAATATTGCTAACACTGCAAAAGGGAAAAAATAGCCCTCTTGGATTCAGTCAACGTAGAGGGGACATACACCACTCTGACAAAAGATGTGCTTATAGCAGAAGAATTGCACAAGCACCAGCAGGTTGGGGGGAGGTATCAGGCAAAGATAGTTCACTCTTCCCCTCATTTCCTGCTTATTGCTGAAGGCCCCAATAGTTTGCTCATACACTTCCATTTGATTGATCTTCCCCCCTCACCTCAGTTTTCCCTCTTAATTATATGATGACTGCAGCATTCAAAACACTTCAGTTAAGTTTTTGACATTTCCCCCACCCACATACCCTCATGTCCTGCAGTAAGAAAGTTTAAAGGAACTGCAGCTGAAATAACACATATATGTCCTCTGACTCCTCTTTTCCTGTTGCTTCCCCCCTGTGCAACATTATAGACTACCATGAAAATCTGTCTACATTATGCAAATCAGGATAGCTGGCATAGATCTGCATAACTGACTGCATTTCTAAAACTGAAAGAAAAACTCTACACCACATAGTCACCCTGAAGTCTAGAACTACTAACAGTCCATACTAACTGATTGGAAAATACATTAAGTAAATGTTTTAAATTTCCTTTTGAACCATAAATGTATAAACCTGGATATTTCAAAGAAAATAATAAAATCCTGAATTTCTTAGGAAAAGAAATGTCATTTGCAAAAGCACACATTGTTTGCTTATTTGCTCTAACTATGCACATGCTTTAATTTTGTCTGAGTTTTCCTGTAACAAACTCTGTGTGTCCAGAAACTGTACCTGGTCCAGAATGGCAGTACCAAATTATTATTATGACTAGTTAGAGAGAGGCTGCTTTCACTGTGTATTAGTTCTGTGTATATTATTACTAATTATTAGTATATTCCAACTATCATTTTAAACCTATCTTGGTCACGTAATCTCTTCCCAATTTCAAAAAAAGATACAAAATTAAAAGATAGACTGTTGGAAAAGGAAAAAGGAATAACAGTAAACAGAAAAAAGTAAACAGAAAAAACAAAAGAAAAAAGTAAAGAAAATAGAAAAAGAATGACTTCTAAGTTTCATTGGTATAGATAAAGATATAAGAAAACAATGAACTCCTATTCCAAATTAATATTTGTCTACATTATTTTGATAATCTCATACAATGCTATACATCAAGTCCCAAAACCAGCTTTTCATTTCTTTCATTTTCTTGCAAAAACTCAAATAATGATTTCCAAGTAAAAACAAAATTTGCCAGTCTTTTCTTCTTCTTCAAGACTATCAATTTCAATATCTCTGCCAATTCCACCCATTCCATCATCCATTCTTCCATCAGAGGCATTTGATGGATGTCTTTTCTGCTGTTATCATCATAAAAACCAAGTTCCATAAGATGTTTTCATTTGTTTACCTATTAAGCTGAAAAGAAATCTGATCTTTTTCAAACTGAAGATCATGTTTGACTTTGAGTGGTATGCCATGAGCCACACTCCAGCAAATAAGGAAGGCCAAATTAATAATAACAACAGCAACAATGGTCATTGAAAAAAATAAATGCCCTCCCAAATACACAATTAAACGTTACAAGGAATTACATCTACAAAATTTGGCAGCAAAAGGACAGGGTTTTTCTGGGAGAGCAGGACTGTACACAGCCCACATGTTCTGTCCCAAGTAATTGGTTCTCCTGTTTAAAAGACCATTATCTCTCTTATGAGCCTACCTACAGGTACCTCCTTTAAACCCACTAGTGCCAATGGCCTATCTGACAGGAATAGACAAGAGAGTTTTATTGGTGACTGCTCCCACATTGCAGGACTCCGTGCTAATGGAAGACTAGTTCTAGGGGTGGGCTGCTGGGGTTCGCAGGGGTTCGCGAGAACCTCTAGCTAAGATTCTGTGCAGTTTGGAGAACCCCCAAATCCCACTCCTGGCTGGCCTTGCTCAGCTTTGTTACATTTCCTCTATAGGTAGTCTTCATATAGCGACTACCTCATTTAGCGACTGTTTGCAGTTGCAATGCTATAATCTCGCTTTTTGTGTAGTTTTCAACAGATTAGTTTCCACTGAAGATGATCTCTGGCACAGAATCTCCTACTGAACATACATTTGGAAGGAAGGGGATTGTTTAATGAGCAACAGTTCTTTCCTTCTGCCTTTGTCTCAGCTTTTTATTTCTGATTTTTGAGCCAGCATGTATATTAAAGATACATTAGAAAGGAAAGTTAGGTGGGGCAAGTACTTGTTTTTCACAACACTCAAACCTAGATTGCTCTTTAGAATGCCTTTCCAACTGAGCATCTTCCAGAATTTTTGGGCCCAATTTCTGATAATTTTAATAATTCCCAACCAGAACAAGCAATATGTTCTTGCTAAGGATAATGCCAGCAGGGAATTTTGGTATAGTCCAACATTTCTAGAAGAGCTCATTTAGAATAAGCTGGCTTGATGGGAAGCATGGACCACTAAAAAACAAAAGGTGTTGGCTTTTGCCTTGCAACCAATATTTAAAAACCTTCTGTGGCAATAAAATAGTCACAATAGCAAAGAATACATTTTTATATTTCCAGGTTAAAAAAAAGATTGGTCCAGCACTTCAGGTACAAAACACTAACAGACAGAAGATATGCACCACCTAGTGAAGAGTATCTGTAGTGCTGGCCTCGTGTGAACTGGGCATTTTGTACAAAGTGTGCTTCCTTTTCAGCAGAGGAACAAACTGTTGCCAAAATGGCAACCCTAATATGTCTGCTAAATCTAGTATTTTTGGGACAAAGCCCCTTTCCAAACCCATCTCCACCAACTCAACAAATGACCAGTTCACCCTACAGAATGGCAGACAACAGTATCATTTCAAAACACTGCCTCAGAAACAGACTCTCTCTTCGCTTCATAAAGCATTGCTCCTTATTCAAATCAAATAGAAATTATATTACATGCACTTTCCTGATTGTTTTAAATCAAAGCTCAAGTGTGCATGAACACACAAAGGAGATTGTATCCTCCGTGGCTAAGAGTAACACAAAAAGGAAAGCACCATGGGAAATATGCCTCTGCATTAACACCACCCTTTCCCTGCAACTGGAAAAAAATGCCAGGCTTCAGGTGAAGAGAGAAAAAGCACTTGTGCTGACTTTACCTGCACAAACGAAATGCAGGGAGTTGCAAAATTAGGCAAGGGAAAGGGAAAGAGGGATGAACGTGAAACAACGTTGTTGATGCTATTTATCCAGGGCACTGCATAACCAGATAGGCCCCCAACCCCACCCTAATGGAGGAGCTATCATTCACCACATATGATGGATGAAAGCACAAAAACTGACAGAGGAAAAATTAATTGCCAGCCAAAGGAAACAGAAGCTAACAAGGGAAAGGAATTAACTGTTGGCCCACATGGAAATCTGACAGCAAGGGCTTCATCAGAAACAATAATAATGAAGAAAAATGGAATGAACAGTCACACACATGACAGAAAGGAAAGGCAGAAAAACAGAGCAAATGTGAAATACAGGATTTCCTTGTTTCTCTTGCTTTAGCTGCTGTCTGATATGGGGGGGGAGGGAGGGAGAGAAATTCTGCTATTCTTCCAAAAGAATACTAAAGAAATACTAAAACCTCATTCTTTGTACCTTCTTAAGGGAAACAGCACAAAATCTGCTTCTGTAGAGTAGGGAAGAAGCAGAGGGCCAAAGAGATGGGTCTGTCTAGTTACCAACATTTTTTGTGTGCATGAGATTATTAGCCGCCTCAGCACCCAGACAGGTCCAGCAATTGGACAGGGGAGTTTCACTCTGGGTCAACCTCTCTGCAGCTCTAACAAAGAGGCACAATGCCCACCGGCGTAGGTTAGACACGCAGAGATAAAGGGAACGAGAGGCAACTTCTCCGCCTTGGCAGCGACAGGGCTCAGCCTCCCCCTAAGCCTGGAGGAGGAGCGCGAGCCCCTCTTTCTCCATCAGGGGCCGTGCCACACTCTTCCTCCTGACGGCCAGCAAAACCCCGAGTCCGCAGCTCCAAGCGCAGCAAGGCAGCCTCACTTCCCCGCCCTCCACCCCAGCGAAACGCACAAGTCGCCCTGCAAGAGCCGCGCATCTTTGCCAATGGGGGGAAGATGGGGGGGACCCGGTTTGCAAAGAACCGGCCGGCTTGGAACGGGGAGGGAAAGCAGCAGCAGCAGCTGCTGGACGGGGGCTCCTTTTGTTCGTTCTTTGCATTCACCTGCAATGGAAAGTTACCCACTGAAAAACCCCTCCTGTCCCCATCTCACCTCACGGCCACCTTGACGCTGCAGCTGTCACCCTGGGCGGCCATTCCCTTCTTTTTTTTCTTCTCTTCCCTCCCTCGCCACCGTCGCCCCGCACCGCAGGAGAGCGCTGCCCCTCAACCACCATGGAGCTCGGTGGGGCCGGGGCCAAGGCGAGGTTGCGACTCGGCTAGGAGCAGGAGGCGCGTAGGCTGCTGGAGTCGCAGGAGGAGGGCATGCTGCTGAGCTCCTCTCGGGGAGCGCGGACGCTCGTCCCCTCCAGGAGAGAGAGAGAGAGAGAGAGAGAAGGCAGCCCCGAGCGGGAGAAAGCTTAGGCAGCGTCCCCGCTTCCCATCCCGTCCGCCGCGGCGGCGGCAGCAGCAGCAGCAGCGGGACTGCGGAGGAGAAATTAGCGGCGACTGACCGAGGCAGAAGTCGAGCGGGCGGAGAGGCTTGGGAGAAGGGGGGGTAGAGAAGAGGAGGGAGGCGGAAGGAGGGGCGTCAGGACGCGGAGGCGGTCACGCCCACCCACCCCCCGTCAACTCAAAAGGTGGGGGAGGGGCTTGAGGCGAGTTGGGGCGGTGGGCAGCGTGCGGGGAGGCACGAGGGAAAGGGGGAAAAGGTCTCGCGTTTGGGCGGGCTTCAGAAGTTAAGGGTCCAGAGGCTTGGCGATATATTGCACGTTGTATTGCACGATCTCGTGAATCGCTTCCGTTCCTTCTAGCCGGCCAGCTCTAGAAAAAAGGAAAATATATCTATTCCCGGAAGAGAGTAAAGAGCTTGCAAGCGAAATTGCCACAGAAATCGCCTGTGAGCATGTAGCGTTTTGCACAGAGATGGAAGATGGGCTTTTGTGGTTGTGGTAGTCGCTGAACCAAGGGTTCATTTGAATGACGCCATACGTTACAGAGGCCGGGTTTCTCATATTAGGCGGAGTTGGCTAACTGGGTTTGGTGCATTGTGTGACTATCGCAGGACCTGGTTTGCCTTTGATGGGAATTTTCATCTAATGTGGAGATTAGGGTTTGTGCAACAGATTAGGCTAAAATATGGCTGTATCAGTAAACTCTGTTGTGTAATTATAGTCAATATCGGCATATGCATGGATGTAAAGATTCTGTTGCTACAGTTGCTCCTTGCTTATAGCTGAAAACCATGTTGTGGTCTATGTTAGCCTCCATTAGTTTAAGATTGAGATTCTAGGTCAGAGGTCCAAAGACTTGGCAACTCTAAGACTTGTGGACTTCAATTCCCAGAATTCTCCAGCCAGCATGGCCATTACGAAGAGTTCTGGGAACTTAGAATTGCTTCTCAAACTTGTTCAATTGGAAAATGCTAGTCTAGTTCAACCCTTTGTAATGTGCAAAAAAGTTAGTGAGGTGAGGATGTTCAGACATTCACAACAAAAACCACCAAATATGAGACATTGCAACCTGCATGTGTACATCAGTCAGCTATTATTCAGGTCTTCTAATCAGGAAGCTTTGCCTTGTGTGTTTTTCTCTCTAGATATCAGTGGAAATAAAATTCTAAGTCATAAACTGGAGAGGGCATCTTAAAATTCTAACATCTTCCTGTAGCTTCAGTTATGTAAAATCATTGACATTGTTCCTTGCCATTTTGAAACAGGAAACAAATAATTTTAGGTCCTGTGTCCTATTTCATAAATGGATTGCAGAAATCTAAGTGAACATTAGATGGCAGCAAAGAGTTAGCATTCTTTGTTGCCATTTTAAGGATTTTTGCAGCCTAGTTTTGGAAACCAAAAATATCTTTAAAAAACAAAAGACCTGGTTCACACAACACACTGAGCCATACAATTGATTTGGTTCTGCTGGAGTATTCATGTTAAATTTCATTTTGTTTCTAATCATTAAATAAGCTATACCTGGCTGCATTTATACAAGATCGTCATTAAAAAAAAACCACAATATGACAAGGTGTTGTGTAAACCCAGCCCTTTTTAGTGTAGTCACTTAATATGTATAAGTAAAAAAAACATTGCAAGATTCTCTTTCACATCCTACCCAGTTTTCATGTCACCTTACTCACTGTGACCTTCACTTTCTCATAAAATATAAAGTGCAGCCCTCAGCAAACACCTTATCATAAAATAAAATGCAGTTTACATACCTCAATAGCTGAGTTTTCACAAAAGTCTCACTCATGTGGTTTAGCATGTGGTGTGAACTTTATCTATTCAGTCATAGCCATGATTTTAGCAGTCTTCCCTTACTCTCAGTGACTGGGAAAGGAGCATTCTTTTCACAGATAGCTGTGATAAGTATACTGAATTAAGTAAAGCAAAAGAAGACAATCCCCATTTCCACAGAGAGCGGACTGTATATAAGCATTAGCTTAATGCAATTAACCAACTTTTTCTGGGTTCACATAACCATAAACTAATTCTATAAGTTGCATCTGTACAAGCTTCAAGTTTGTGTTGCCCAGTTTATGATTCGGGATGCTGGGTGAACAGGGTCCCTAGACAGAAAAGGATTTGGAATAGGGCTCCCTGAGTTCAGCATTATTGTAATAAAAGAGGAACACACAACAATGGCAGGGAGGTGAACAGAGTGTTAAATTATGGAAATAATAGGCTGCCTCATCCCAGTTCCGTCAGAAATACATTTATGTTTTCCAGTTTAAGTTTTGGCAACCCTGCCAAAGTCTACATGCCATTTATCTCCTTCAATTCATTATGGGGGAGAAAGGGTATGGGAAAAAAGGGTGTGATTAAATGTTAAAGACTGGATGATGGATTTCTATTTTAGAAGGTGCTATAAATAATTTGTTCTAAGTAGCTGTATTGATTGAATTAAAACAAATCTGGTTGTGTTTCTCTAAGCAACAGCTTAATCAGTGAATTACATTTCTTTTCTACCAATACTTAACAGTAAATCTTTTTTATATTAACATATCAAACCTTGCTCCTCCTATTTAATAGTAAACTCAATAGAAAAAAATCAACCAGAACACTGTCCTTGGGCATTTTCTGATACGTCCATGGATGTCTGCAAAGCGTGATGAAAAATAAGTAAAGAGCTCAGCTCATTTTTTAAGGGAGGCACATAAAATTTGGCAGAGCTTTAATCATTTCATTGTAGCTTCCACCTTGACTTTTCTTGACCACACCCTGCATATACTCCTGGTATCACCAACTAATGTCTAACCTTCTGTCAAACATTTTTCTAGGAATTTATTTGAGTTAATGATCTTGCATATACTTGGTTTAATATGTAATCAGAGTGTTTAGGGTGAGGGTGAATTATATGCAAAATAATAACATTTGCAATGGGCTGTTAGATAGCCAATTTGAGGTAGTGATTAAGGTATCCGTTTAGAAAGTGGGAGACTGTGAGTTCTAGTTCTGCCTTAGGCATAAAACCAATTGGGTGACCTTGGACAACTCTCTCTCAGTTCTAGAAAGAAGGCAATGTCAAATTTATTTCTAAAATGACCTGTCCAGGCAATTGCCAGGAATCAACACTGACTCGAAGGCATTAAACACACAGACAAATACACACACACACACACACGCACGGACACATGCACTGTTCACTGTTATTAGTGAACAACATAGATTGTAACATCAATACTGGATATGTTGCTTATGGATTTTATGCTGAACATTATGCAAATGAATTTTTTCTTACATTTTAAAAATCTTGTATGTAGTTTGTATTGCTGCAAATTACTTATGTTATCTTCTAGGACCAGTGTTCAATTTAATAGAGGGAGATCATGCAGAAAAAGAAAATGTTCATATCCAAGTTAATTGCCAATAACTGCCCATTCATATTGGGTTCAATAAATTATAAGATTCTTTAGAAACATTTTATTAGTATAAGACTATACTTATATAATGGGTTTGCCAGTGTACTGTCAAGCACAGATAGTAAAAACTGTGCAGCTTGGTAGATTTTTATTTTTTGCATAGATTGATACAAGCCAATTGGTTGGTTCTTTTTGAGGATGCTAGTTTTGAATGCAGAATTACTTACCATTATGGAGCAATAGGACACTGTTCTTTTTTGTTGTCTTCATATTACATACACAAGAAACCTCAGTGAGTTCATACAAATAATCCAAAGTTGTCCTCATGGGACAATTTTTTGAATGAGAGTTCAGGCTTAACATGTTTGCACTCAAACGTACTGCCATATTAAACCAATAGTCTAACTTTTAGTTAAAAAGACCCAACACAGAGGTTAACTGAAATTCAAACAACATATTAAATAAGTTTAATAATTGCACATAGGAAGCTAAAAGAGGTGCCAATTCATGCTTACTGAGGCTTCTGCTTCATGCACACACATCTGAGATTATACCAAAGGTGCTTTTTCAAGAGGTAACTGGACTTTGTTTTTCTTCCAAGATGTTTTGCTTCTCATCCAAGAGGCTTTTTCAGTTGAAGAAACTTCTTGGGTACGAAGCAAAATATCTTCAAAATAAAACCAGAAAGTCCAGTTGCCTCTTGAAAAAGCACTTTTGGGACAACCATAACTTGGAGGACCGAGACACACCTGAGATTATTCATAGCATGTCAGCTTCTCAATAAAGATATTAATTACAATATAAAGCGTGGCTTGATATTAATCCTGCTGAAGTGTTCTCCATTGTGTCATTAAAAAATTGGAAGCAACTAAATGGCTAAACGATCACCATTAATCAAGGGTAAATTATCCAAGGCACATCAGATGACATAGCAATTAATAATTAGCTATTGTTTCTGTTTATTCCCCTTTTTGACTGGTATCTGAATTGTCTTTGTGATAGCCATCTGGCACTTCCTTTTTTTAAAAAAGGGGGGCATATAGTAATTGGGGATAAAGACTGAATCTTGCCTTGCAGGCTTTTATGTCTACTGCTCATGTATGCACACCATGCTGAGGGCTTGTGAGAAATAAAAACAAAGCCAGGTGAGAAGTGATTGGTATATATGAAAGCAAAAGGAGAACTCCTGTTCTGGGGTCTGAAAACATGCTAGACTTAATCTTAAAGTAAGTCAAATCTAGCTATGGCTACAGATTGATATTGGGATTACAATATCATGAATTTCCAACTCAGGCTGGGCATATCTGCAGGACACCAGACTTGGAAAGACTCTTCTAAGTCAACTACACATTGATTTGTCTTCCAGTGTGTTACAATGATGTGTCTGTTCAAATACATCAAAAACCTGCTTATCTAAATTGCTGTCCATAAGAATTATCTCAAAGGAAAATGCCTAGCGGCCTGGGAGAAAGAATTATTTTAAGAAGTCATACGTGGAAATTTCATTGTCATTTACCTTGACATAAGAGTGTGACTGATTGTTTATTCAGTGAATTTACAAAGGAACCCATTTCCAATCTTTCCCTCAACTCAAAAGACATAGCTCTTTATTTGATAGTAATTATTAAAAGCTTCTTGTAGAAATTAGAGTTGAGAAATTGATTC